TATATATATAGTTCCATATAATATAAATCAAGATAGCCGTTAACACTGTTAAATTATATATAAACCATCAAAAGAAAGGTAAATACAGTATTTATTTAGCCTATTCGAACACTGTAAGTGAGTATATATATATATATATATATATATATATATATACTTATATTATATATACATACACAGTGTAATTACAGATTCGTCCTTATATGAAAAACATCTTAATATTGTTAGTGTTAACCGAATAATGCATGATTTACGGGTTTAAGGGTCAGTTCTTGATGGCTGTGCTGGATAAACAAATGGCCATGTCCATCTCATTAAAAGAATTAATATCTATTATATGCTTTTTAACGAGAACGCCACAGAGTGTGTCCTTTTCGTTATAACCAAGTGAACAATATACGAAAGACACACATTTTTGCCAAGCTATAGGTAGGCTTGATGTAACACTAACGACCTCCATGTATCGATTATTCCTCGTAGAGAGCAAATCTACGGCCATTTAAGCTCCTAAACTACTAATAAAACTGCAAATAAAAAGGACGATTATCAAAATGTGTTGATAACTGTACCTCGACCAGATTAGGTAGCATCCAATTCCGTCAAACTTGTATAAAAATAGCTAGAATTAAAAATCAAACTACCGGGGACATATTTCTGTTTTTTTTTGTTTTTTTTGTTTTTTTTTGTTTTTGTTTTTTGTTTTGTCTTGTTTTTTTTTGTATATATTTAGGCTTTTACAGTTTATTTTATTAATTATTATATTAATTTTTAATCTTGACTTTTCATTGTTATATTGGCAAATATTTTTTTCATTAATTTTTGCTTATTGTTGAAAATGGAGTCGGAGGGGCACATCATATCCGGTGATAGTAGTTTTTGTGCCGCTTTTGCCACTCCTCAAATCTCCTCTTTCTTTTTTGATTTTGTTGTTTGTTGTTCTGTGCTGAAAGGAATAAAATAAAATAAATAAATAAATAAATACGGTAATGTTTGCCACTCTTAAAATAGATTCGGCTTACTAACAGGATTTTTCATGAATATATTTTAAAGCAAAAAATACTAAATATATTTTATGGTATCAAAAAATAGAGTTTACAATGCCTTACTTGAATATTAATCGAACAGTTTATTGTTTTTGCTTAATAGTTCCTTTCAACAAGTCAACGACCGTAAAAAATATAATAAAATATTTAAAAATTACTCTGTAGTCATACACGTTACCGACGTTACCTCCAATGTAAAAATATTATTGATATTATTGAATATAGCAGCACTGAATAGCAATAATAATGGTAACATGAATTGTTATAGAAGTGCTGCACCATTATTGTTCAACTTGCGTTTGGCTTACTTATGCTCAGACATTTGTACTTATATGTCATCCCATGACATTAAATCTTACTTCCGGGCCAAACTTTTGAAATTGAAAAACCAAGGATGAGAACGAAATCTTCCCTGAAGGAACCTTTGGTGTAAATTTCTTAAAATGCTGATACTACCTATCGAACTCAGCGGCATAATTCATCCGTATCGTCCGGTATCTAGCGTAAAATATTAATAGTCCTTATTCCAGATATAAAATCATTGGTTTTACATGTGTCATTGATTAAACCCTAGGCTACTCACCACCAATCGGTTTAGGGATAGTCAAATACAATTCAATGCAGTTTTCCGCAACCTCAAATAACTGCTTTCGCTGTTCGTCAGAAAACACAATGTTGCCCATCCAAGCAGGTGTAAAATTTAAGTATAATAACTGCCCTTGTATTTTAATTTCCCGATCCGTCCACTCAGCTTCTTCTGTCATCGCGACAAGTAACACCTTAAAAATATAAATAATAACATAGATCATGATACGTCACAGGGTACGGTATACCTGTTGCTAATGTACCCTCTTCGTTATAATGGATCAATTCAAATTTGTAATTTTACAATGGCCAGTCTTCCCACTAGACTTATCTGCCCACTAGGCAAACCTACTACGCCGGTTTGGCACTAGATGAACCTTAGTTCATATTTACCTGGCCGAATATATGAAATCATTATCTCTAATTTTTACCAATATAAAGAAAATTTCATATTAAATTTACAATTATTTAAAATATGTGAAGTCAAACTTGAAACAGCCAGTAACAGCTAGAGACCAAATTAAATCAATGGTCATAAAGGATAAAAAGTTTGAAAATGAATGCGTGCAAAAACTACTAAACGCAGCCCTTAGATGCCCTAACTAAGTTTAAAAGACAGTTTTTGAGCCATGCCTTAAAATTGTCTGACAGAGTTGAAATCCTTAATAATAATAATAATAATAATAATAATAATAATAATAATAATAATAATAATAATAACTAGACTTACTATGTCTGTTTGAATAACGGAACATAGGGCTTTTCCCCATTACTTTAATGAGAAATGAAGTTGAAATTGTAACAGAAAGAAAAGTCGTTAAAAGGTACCGTATAAAGTTAAAAAAAAACGCCGTCGTAGTCATCGTCGTCGTCATCGTCATCATCATCGTCATCATCATCATCATCATCCTCATCGTTTATGTATTTGTTATGTATATGTATGTTATGTATATGTTCTTGTTTATCTTTATGTATATGCGCGTGTTTGTGTGTGTATTTGTCTGTGGGTGTTTTTGTATGTGTTTGTTTTTGTATGTTTTTTATAAGTACGTTTGTATTGGTTTGTGCGTTTATTTGTTTATGTATATATATGTATATATTCTGGTTTGTGTTTGTATTGTACGTGTAATGTATCTATGTATATATGTATGTATATGTATATATGTGTGTGTGTGTATAGTATATATATATATATATATATATATATATATACTAGGCCTATATATATATATATATATATGTTTGTGTATTTATTATTAAGTTTAGAGATTAAGAAATTTGAAGTTTTGATTTAAAAGAAATGTACTGATATGATATGAAGTGAAAAAAAATCTTAAATTATTATTAATTTTAGAGATTATGAATTTTGAAATTTTTGATTCAAAAGAAATGTATTGATATGATATGCAATGGAAAGAAAAATCTTAAATTTTGAGAGAAAATGAATTATTTGTTTGAACAACAGACTTGAAAATGAGTACGAAATCTGAGACCGGAATTTATGTGAATGTTTATGTTAATGTAATGAATAAATATGGCTTTGCCTGAAAAAGGGAAAAAAAAATCATCATCATCATGACGACGATGATGATGATGATGATGATGATAATAATAATAATAATTTATAAAGCGCCAATATCACTAAACCGAACTAAAAATCAAAGGCGCTGTGCATGTTCAAATGTTAAAAAGGTGAGTTTTGAGTTTGGTCTTAAAAATAGCAACTGAAGGTGAGTAGGTAATATGTTTTGAGAGGGAGTTCCAAAGTGTGGCGGCTGAAAATATAAATGATCTGTGGCAGTAGAAGATAAAATATTCCATAATCGAGCAGCTGTACGCGGGAAAGAGTCGACACCCATACGCTTATGGAACTGGAAACCACAGCTTATATTTGAAAGAGGTGGATCCAGAAATTTTCTGACAGGGGCCAATAGGTAGTCCACACCCACCTTAGCCCCACCATAGTTAGGGATGAGGTGAGCAAATTTTAAGAATAGGACCCTCTAGACGCTCGGAAATGGCACTCTCAGATGGTAAAAATGCTTTTTCAAATCAGTGTTTCTCGACAAAAGTATTGACTTCCTCCCGACGGAAGCTTTGCTCCCCCTCCCTTAGACACCCCTCCTCTTACGGGCGTTACAAAGGTCTAATCAAGGACCTACAGTCTATTCTATTCTGGGAGTCGAAAAGCAAATTATGATAATGGAACCTCTAGATGCCAGAAAATGGCTCTCATTCAGACTTATTTGAACATTTTATCTCAATTAAAAAAAAAAAGAAATTGACAAATGTAGCACGTCCCCAAATACTTGCGTCAATTAATAGACAATTCAAAATTAGTGAGTGGTAAAGTAATCCATAAAATAATTTGCCGACTGCCGCGTCCGCCATTGAACTCATGGGTACACTTCTTTTTCCCCTCTTTTCTCCCTTTAACTTTTCCCAATTTTTTCTGCCTTTTTTAATATATTCGGCGGGACTAACGCTGTCTCTTATACACATCTAGATGTGTATAAGAGACAGCAACTGTTTGAAACATGAAATTACATGGACTATACTTCGTAAAACACATAGAGTACTTAGGCAGTTTTGCTTTCTAACGGCTACGCTAAAAACAATATTTGATACTTACTAAAACACACAGAAGTGCTTTTTCCCACATCATTCCAGTCTTTATCCTCTGTTAGCATATAGGCCTACTTTCATATAACGTCAAGATAAATCTACAAGAAAATACGCAACCAGATACTTAAAAACCTATTTCTATGTGTATTATAAATACAGTATGTTGGTACGGTAAAATTATAGTTACAGTACTAATCGCGGGCATTGAATGCGCTTTTCTGATCACAGTTTACCCGCGGGCAACGCGTTTCACGTCATAACAAAGCAAAGCAACTGGCGGTGCCCGTAGTGAAGATTGAACGTTAGGAATTCTAGGCCCGTTGACGCCAATATCTTACAGGTAAAAAGTAAAATATTTATAATTAATTATTTTGCCTGGGTTAGTTATATGAATGAAGTTCTTCTTTTATTTAAGTTATTGTAGCATAGGTGAAGTTCTCGTTCATAATCGAGAAAGAAAGTAGCATAAGTCAAAACATAACTCGAGTTAAAGACGGTAAAGTATTTGAAAGACAACAAAACTCAATCAATCTGAAATTTGGAATGCTATCGACTTCATGAGATGGAGACATCGATGATCTATGCTGTGGCAGTTTTTGGTCACTCCATATTTGGATCTTTTCTAAATCATTGACCATATATCAAAGATGTGCATAGGCCTATTATTAAAATATAGAGTTATTCTACATATTTTAATATTGATAAACCACCGGGTGCTTGAACTTTTTATAACTTGAAATTTCGTTTTATAAAGCGTTTCAAACCAGCTGCATGTAGGTTCAACGTAAATTTCGCTCTCCTTAACCGATATCGCTATTACCATTGCAGCTATAGTTCGAGTCTTACTGACGTCAAATTAGTTTCTACGTTTTCTTTTTACTTCATTGTTTTTTTTTTTATTATTATGGATTTATTCTTGTTTTTTTGTATGTACTTTTGTTTTTTTTATGTATGTTTTACTTTATAATTACCTCCGCCTAGGAGGTTATATTTTTATTCGATTTTATTTTTTGTGTGTTTGTGTGTGTGAGGGAAGGGATGTTCTTTAGTAGCCTCCGGGCTACAGATTTAGGGGTACTCGAATAAAAGTGAACGTCCAAGACCTAGGTAGCACAAAAATGATCAATGGATCTGAATTAACCTTTCCGGAAGGGTTCAAGGGAAGCAATACATTTTTGTAACATTCCAGATTGGGAAGGTCCAGACTTAAATAATTCAAAAAGATTTGTTTTCAAGGAGAACAGATGGATGGGCGTGGGAGTTTTATAAAGGAGAGAATTAGTATACTTAGTTTTTTCATATACCTCCATGGTTTTTTTAACGATTTTTTTTTTTACATCAGTTCTTATTATGGCATTGAATATTTTTATTTTCCATTTCTTCTCTCAACCCAGCAATATACATTACGGATAGTGCGATTCTAGAAATATTGTTCGTCTTACAATTTAGAGCTTAAGTCATACAGAAGCTGAAAACAGTGTAAGATTCAAAATGAGACTCACAATATTAACAAAATAAAATAAAATTACAGTACTGTACATGAAAGAAAAGACTAAATCAAAACTTTAGGTTATCGAGGTTATGACTACGATAAATAGACTTCTTTATGGCAACAACTTGTTTTCTCTAATTATAATAATGCAATACAATATATTCATCATTAAATCATAAAATTGTTGTTGAACTTAAATAAAAGTTTAAATAAATTTCATTTTTAAATGTTTACCCTAATAGTAAATATCTATCAGACTAATTAATTACCAGTATTGTATTTGATTTGTTTTGTTATTACAAGGAGATGTCGAATCGGGTAAAATTGAATGAGCACTTCTTCCATAATACTGATACGCATGAGTGCAATTTATGTGGTTGTGCATGTGCGTACATTATGTGGTTACATTTATATCACTGTCATGCTAGGTTAGGTGTCACAATGTATGACCGATCTACTTTTGACATCAACTAAGCGTGTTCATCTAACCGACGAGAAACAATTATAATTTATTAGTATCTATAATGTAACAGAGAAAAGCCTTGATGTCTATCACTTCTTGAGCGAATGCCTTATTGCACCCGTTCTACTTCCTAATGTTCACAGTAGAGTGATTCTGCGCTAAATGAACATGCTTGCATCAAATGCTCTCAACTCTTAATTTTGCTTAGAAAAAGTGATTTCTTTCTTTAAGCGAATGACATAAGGTAACAGTTAAAACATAACATTCGTGCCAAACGAGACGAAAAAATCTTGTTTATCAAAAAGAAACACGAAAACAATGCCAGTGGGGACATACGTCTTTATTAACACTTCATTTAACATTTACATCGGCCTCTGAATGGATGGCTTATTTTTGCAAACAGAACTAAATGTCATATCATAACCATTCCTGCTCATCGTCGTCATTACCACAAGGGTCATCATTGTGATTTTAAAATTGTTTTATTATTATGGATACTCGTTCCTGGTACCCATCCAACAGTAGGTCTTCTGACCACTGTTGCTCTCAGCGAATGATAAAAGGCTAACCCTATTAAATATTTAGCAAATTATTTAAGCATCACCATCATAGTGGCATATTGGACTATTTCATTTTCGATAATCAGCGTTTTATTTTAATTTGATTCTGCGTCGATTTTTTTAGAGAAATTTTGAAACAATGCTATAAGTTCGAAAAACACAGCACCATCACCTGGATATTTGTAATGCTATGCTACGAGCCATTTACACAAAACACCCCTGAGTCAGCGCACACAACTGAGTTGGCCCAAATCACTGGCTGGGCGCAAATCACTGAGTTGGCGCAAAACACTGGCTTGGCGCAAATCACTGAGTTGGCGCTCAACAGCGAAATATTTATTTGAGTGCATTTAGCTACAAGACATAAATCAGTAAACGATGACCATCATAAAGTTAAATTGAATGTTAATGGAAAGGTTAACGATAATAGGTGCAATGAATTTACATGATTTCTAAATTTATTAATATGCCATCGATATCGTTCATCGATCTAAAAGAACTAATTTTATATTATATTGGGATTCAATGAAATTTATAGCTTAATATCATAATAACTTATTTAATGCTGTGTTTTCACGATTTATTTTAACTTTTCTTTCTTTAGTAGTATTACATTTTAGATTTATGGAAAATGAGAATAAACACATATTTTTACTTTTCTTGTTTCATCATAACTAGGCCTACATCTTTTATACGTAAACAGTAAAAAAATGAAAATTTCAATTTTACTTTTTATTTTACATCTTCTATATACTGTATTAAATTAATAACCATTAACCATTAACCATATTATGAACCAAAGTGAGCAGTATAATTTTTTTTTTGTTTTTATCCTTTTATGTCTGATGCAATAGGCCTATTTGTGTTATTTCTTACGTGTTTACAATTTGTTCAAATGATTGAAAACGTAAACTACAAAGATATCATACTGAAACTGTCAAACAAAATGACAATATGAGTATCACAGAACTTACAAACGCTTAATAAACCTCAATGTAACATCAACACGACCAAAGTTTAGACGTAGTACAAGAAAAATACGGTACATCTTAGGGTTGAAAAAATTGCAACAGAATTTCTGTTTGCACAGTGCATTTTCTTAAGGTCTCTGTAGGAACATACTAAAAGTCTAGAAAAATCCACATAGGGGAAGTGCGTTTTTTTCAAAATGGCCGCCAAAAATGGCTAGTTTTAACCAAAAATTGAAAAAAAACTTGGATCTTTTCAACATATTTCAACATACTTTTTTTTCCTAAAATATATTTACAAATCCTAAAATTGTTCTTATCCATACAGGTACACTTATTTGATGTGGATATCATTAATTTCAAGATGGCTGCCACAAATACGACGACATATTTAATGGTGTATGCATAATAATACGCCAGGTAGCTATAGTGCCATATCGACGTTTTGGACAAAAGCATCAACTTTTTACATGCTCCTTATGGTCATAGCATTCAATTTTTGATAGAAACCTTTTTATCGGAGGTCATTATGGCAGCCATCTTAGATTTTAAAATGGCCACCTTATAAAACCTATGTATCTTCATGGTATTATCTACTCTTCTAACTTGGAATTATAATTCTAGTGTCTAAATGGTTAAGGAATACTAGCATGCCATTTTTGACCATGGTAAGATTGTTCATTTAAGGTAATTATAATTTAAGGTCATTCCAGGTCAAATATTGTATGACATCTTAATAATTTCCTGTCATGTTTTACATCTGAATCATACTAAAACTCTCGAAATTCATTTTTTTTAATAAGAAACTACATTATTTCATTCAAGGTTATTTTGGCAGCCATCTTTAATTTCAAAATGGCTGCCATGCAAAAACTATTTTATTAATATCTTAGCTTTTAGAATCACTTTAAATTAGAATTCTGATGTTTAAAACTATGTTTTTATGGTCAAGAAAATATACCATTTGTGACATAGTCAGATGGTCATTAGGATAATATATATGTCAGTTAGGGTCATTCAAGGTAATTTTATGGTTAATACCATATCAGAGGTCGTTATGATGTCCATTTTAGGTCAAGGTGATTTTGCAGCCAAATTAGAGATGGCCATAAAAACATATATGTTTACTTTACATAATCAAATATTGTCTTTACTAGTTGTGACATGGTCAGATGATTATTGTAGTCACAAATAGGTTAATTAATGTCATTCAATTACGTTTCAGGTCAAATATTGTATGACATGTTAATAATGAACTTTTTCGAGTTTTAATAAAACAACTGACCAATCAGAAGAGTAGACAATATACGCGGAAAAAACAAAACAATCTTTTCCATCAGTGAGCAAGATTCTTCTAATAACAGTCCTAAATAATATATATGAACAATGAAAAACAGTGTACAATTGCGAAACACAAACAATAATAAAATCAAACGGATATTTCGATAGCTCCTGCTATCTTTATCGACGTTAATACAGGCTTTACATGGTGGTTATCTAGAAATTCAAAATGGCTGCTAAATTACACTGACCTAATGAAATCGAATGATTTTAAAATGGCTGCCATAATGACTTCTTAAATAATCGAATTCTGTGAGCTTAAGTATAAAATTTA